GGATTAAAACTGAAATCTGTGAGCTTTTGGGTTTTTTGTCTACCACAAACGTGGCCACACATTCACAAATCTTTACCGGCATATATACATGTCCTTCTGTCCTCCGTGGACAGGGATAGAGACCAGTTAAACATTTGGTTCAGTGATTTATTGAACAATCAACCACAGAAGGTGACTGAAGTGCTTTTAAAATGACTGTCTGCCATCATATTTTACTCCAAACAATTAAGAGGAAACATAATTTTTTTCTGAAGACTAATTACTAAATTTCAGCATTGAGTGTAGGAATGTGTGTGTGTGTGTGTGTGTGTGTGTGTGTGTGTGTGTGTGTGTGTGTGTGTGTGTGTGTGTGTGTGTGTGTGTGTATTCTCCTTGGTGTGCTTGCGGGGGTTAAGCTCTGCTCTTTAGTCCCGCCTCTCAACTGTCAATCAATCAAATGTTACTAATCACTAACTATTTTTCACACACACACACACACACACACACACACACACACACACACACACACACACACACACACACACACACACACACACACACACACACACACACACACACACACACACACACACACACACACACACACACAGTTTTGGAGGGGCCTCGTAGCCTGGTGGATAGCGCGCAGGATTCGTAATTCTGTGGCGCGGGTTCGATTCCCGCACGAGGCAGAAACAAATGGGCAAAGTTTCTTTCACCCTGAATGCCCCTGTTACCTAGCAGTAAATAGGTACCTGGGAGTTAGTCAGCTGTCACGGGCTGCTTCCTGGGGTGTGTGTGTGTGTGTGGTGTGGGGAAAAAAAAAATAGTAGTTAGTAAACAGTTGATTGACAGTTGAGAGGCGGGCCGAAAGAGCAAAGCTCAACCCCCGTAAAAACACAACTAGTAAACACAACTAGTAAACACACACACACACACACACACACACACACAACCAGGATGTTGATTGACGGTTGAGAGGCGGGACCAAAGAGCCAGAGCTCAACCACCGCAAACACAACTAAGTGAGTACAACTAGGTGAGTACACACACACACACACACACACACACACACACACACACACACACACACACACACACACACACACACACACACACACACACACACACAGAGGAAGCAGCCCGTAGCACCTGTCTAACTCCCAGGTACCTATTTACTGTTAGGTAAAACGGAAATCAGGGTGAAGGAAACTCTTCCCATTTGTTTTTCCGGCGGTCCCGGGGTTCGAACCCCGGTCTCTAGGCACTACTCGGCCACACACACACACACTGCTCCAGACACTACTCGGCCACACACACACACACTGCTCCAGACACTACTCGGCCCCACACACACACTGCTCCAGACACTACTAGGCCCCACACACTGCTCCAGACACTACTCGGCCCCACACACACACTGCTCCAGACACTACTCGGCCCCACACACACACTGCTCCAGACACTACTCGGCCCCACACACACACTGCTCCAGACACTACTCGGCCCCACACACACACTGCTCCAGACACTACTCGGCCCCACACACACACACACTGCTCCAGATACTACTCGGCCCCACACACTGCTCCACTCACTACTCGGCCACGCACACACTGCTCCAGACACTACTCGGCCCCACACACTGCTCCTGACACTACTCGGCCCCACACACTGCTCCAGACACTACTCGACCCCCACACACACACTGCTCCAGACACTACTCGGCCCCACACACTGCTCCAGACACTACTCGGCCCCACACACACACTGCTCCAGACACTACTCGGCCCCACACACACACACACTGCTCCAGATACTACTCGGCCCCACACACTGCTCCAGACACTACTCGGTCCCACACACTGCTCCACTCACTACTCGGCCACGCACACACTGCTCCAGACACTACTCGGCCCCACACACTGCTCCAGACACTACTCGGCCCCACACACTGCTCCAGACACTACTCGGCCCCACACACTGCTCCAGACACTACTCTCGGCCTCACACACACACTGCTCCAGACACTACTCGGCCCCACACACACACACTGCTCCAGACACTACTCGGCTCCATCTACTCCCTTACTCCAGCCATGGATTTAATCAGAGGTTCAAGTCGGTGCTGTTCTGTCCTCTTTAACGTGTGGGTCCAGACTGTGCTACTCCCTCACTCCCTCACTCCCTCCTCAGACGCTGGCCTCTCCCTCTACCTCTCTCCCTCCCTCCCTCCCCTTCTAGCTCTCCCTCCCTCTCCCTCTATCTCTCTCCCACTTACCCTCCCAGTCTCCCTAATACTCAACTTCAAGCGCGAGTTCCTCTATTCTAAGCATACTGGAAGATTCTCTTTTTATGTCCAGCTGCTTACTTAGCGCGGGGCATGGCACTCTCTTGCCTCTGTGGCAGTAATTCACAGTTTCTTCTCCTCTCTTTATACGGCATTTATTATGTGTACATGTATCCATTATGTGTACACGTATCCATTATGTGTACACGTATCCATTATGTGTACACAGTCTCCATTACGTGTACACAGCCACCATTATGACTTAGACACAGCCACCATTATGACTTAGACACACTCCTGTGTTCGTCCTGATCATGTCTTCCAGTAATGTTGTTAGCAGTAAGCAGTCCACTAAATTGTGTCGGAGAAAATGTTTCTCAGAGCCGTGACTGGGAGAATGTTTCTCAGAGCCGTGACTGGGAGAATGTTTCTCATAGCCGTGACTGGGAGAATGTTTCTCATAGCCGTGTCTGGGAGAATGTTTCTCATAGCCGTGTCTGGGAGAATGTTTCTCAGAGCCGTGTCTGGGAGAATGTTTCTCAGAGCCGTGACTGGGAGAATGTTTCTCATAGCCAGCCACGCCATTGGCAGCTTGCCTGTTGCCAGCTTATGCAACTAACTATTACATTCAGCCTACCTCTGGTGCCTTGGGGGCTCTATATCACAGACTGAATGAGTTTATGCTCTATATAGAATATCTACTAGAAGCGGCGGTAAGGATAATATGTTAAACTGCGTCTGAGAGTAAGAGGCTCATGTTTACCTGAGGATAAAGGAGTAATGAAGGTAACTCACCTGTGTGACTCTTGCCCTAGGTAACTCATCCGTAACTCCGGCATCATAATGGGTACCTAACCTGTGTGACTCCTGAGATATTTTTATATATTTTGGTCATTTGTATGCAACTAGGGGGGGGGAAATGAGAGCCATTCACAACATCTGAACAACAATGAAATTGGCTATTTTGATATCGAGAAAGATCAAGAAATAATGATTATTTGGGTACTTTAGCTAAAATATATAATTAAATGTTATAAATAATGCAGATAACTGATATAGAGATGTATTACATGATATCCAGATGTATTAGTGATATCTAACGTTATTCTTAAGGTATATCGTCCTCTTGTTAGACCTCATAAATAGATACAGAGAGACGTATTTCTTTGTGAAAAATATTAAGAACACGTAATTTGGGTAAAAAGTTGCTTGAAAGTATGACTTTGCCCTTATAAAACAAGTTGCCAGGCAATATATTGGAAAGGTGGATGGGGTGGAGGGTGACTGTATTATTCCAAGCGATGGTTACGCCTGATTGAAATTACCTACTTAAAATTATCTGCTAGATTAAGGACCTGCCCGAAACGCTGCGCGTACTAGTGGCTTTACAAGAATGTAATTACTGTACTATCCAATGTATTCTCACAAACCCAATGTACCTTCTTGTATATAAATAAATAAATAAATAAATAAATAAATAAATAAATAAATAAATAAATAAATAAATAAATAAATAAATAAATGTATGTGAGTTGGTGAGGTTCCTATATTATTGTCATTTTATCGTGGGAGTAACTTAGTATTGGCAAGAAGTACACTATCAGCTGACACTTCTTAGGGAATATACATGGGATGTTTCCTGTTGTCCTTGACCCTGGGTGACAGTACACTTGAAGGCCAGAGGTAAGCCAGAGCGTCGTCTTGATGACCCTGGCAGTCCTCTGGTCGTCAACCTAAGCCCTGTCTTGGTCTTGACGGACACCTTGAACCTCGCCTCCTGTCCCTAACACGGTGGACACCCGGTACGAACTCGTGAACAGGCTTCTGTTGCTTCGTTTGCCTCTCTGTGTGCGTGTGTGTGTTGGACGCCCCACCAGCTTGAGAAACAAGCTCCACCCCTGCTGTATCTGCAAGTCTTCAGGTCGTACCGATTAGGCAGCATTCAGCTAGAGAACATATATGGATTTTGTTCTTGATTTGATAACGAGGAAGAGAGTAGCTAATATTTGCTTTGTTTTTCTTTTGTTTCATAGTATGAATGGTTACGTGGGCCGCGAGATCCGGGAGTCAAGGAATATGGGAGGAGGAGGACGGACATTTGCCAGCTATGATAAAAGGTCAGAACTACAGCTGGTGTGCTTTCCTTGCACGGGCACCTCTTAGCGTCTAGTAGCCACTCTAACACACTAGTCACTCGCTAGAAACTTACTAGCCACTTAATAGTAACTAGCCAATCATTGTTTTGTGTAGTATATAGCAGGTATAGAAAACACGTGTGTTTGTGTGTGTGTGTGTGTGTGTGTGTGTGTGTGTGTGTGTGTGTGTGTGTGTGTGTGTGTGTGTGTGTGTGTGTGTGTGTGTGTGTGTGTGTGTTCTTACCTGGATTTACTTGCACTTTAAAGCACCTGAGCCTCACTTTGTCAAATCTAACCTAACCAAACCGTAACCATACCTAGCCTTATCTACCCTAGCCTAATCAAACCTAGCCTTACCTAACCTAACCTAACCAAACCATGCCTTACCTAAATGAACCTAATCAAGCATAACCGTATCTAACTTAATGTAACCTTACTAAACCCGGGCAACCCTAACTTAACCTAACCTAACCCAACCCTACCTATTCACCTTATCAACTCTATCCACCTATTCCTTATCTTCTCAGTCGCTCCCTAGAGACCAGGTGCTAATCATTCCTAATCATGTCATGTCACGCTTCTTTTGTTTTTGACAGTTTAATTTGATATTTTAAAAGGTGTGTGTTTTAGGTCCTTGTGTTCCTGCTCTTGTTGTGGCTGGGGTCTTGTGGTTCCTGCTCTTGTTGTGGCTGGGGTCTTCTGGTTCCTGCTCTTGATGTGGCTGGGGTCTTGTGGTTCCTGCTCTTGTTGTGGCTGGGGTGTTCTCTTTCCTGCTCTTGTTGTGGCTGGGGTGTTCTCTTTCCTGCTCTTGTTGTAGCTGGGGTGTTCTCTTTCCTGCTCTTGTTGTAGCTGGCGTGTTCTCTTTCCTGCTCTTGTTGTGGCTGGCGTGTTCTCTTTCCTGCTCTTGTTGTGGCTGGGGTGTTCTCTTTCCTGCTCTTGTTGTAGCTGGGGTGTTCTCTTTCCTGCTCTTGTTGTAGCTGGGGTGTTCTCTTTCCTGCTCTTGTTGTGGCTGGGGTGTTCTCTTTCCTGCTCTTGTTGTGGCTGGGGTGTTCTCTTTCCTGCTCTTGTTGTAGCTGGGGTGTTCTCTTTCCTGCTCTTGTTGTAGCTGGGGTGTTCTCTTTCCTGCTCTTGTTGTGGCTGGGGTGTTCTCTTTCCTGCTCTTGTTGTAGCTGGGGTGTTCTCTTTCCTGCTCTTGTTGTAGCTGGGGTGTTCTCTTTCCTGCTCTTGTTGTGGCTGGGGTGTTCTCTTTCCTGCTCTTGTTGTGGCTGGGGTGTTCTCTTTCCTGCTCTTGTTGTAGCTGGGGTGTTCTCTTTCCTGCTCTTGTTGTGGCTGGGGTGTTCTCTTTCCTGCTCTTGTTGTGGCTGGGGTGTTCTCTTTCCTGCTCTTGTTGTAGCTGGGGTGTTCTCTTTCCTGCTCTTGTCGTAGCTGGGGTGTTCTCTTTCCTGCTCTTGTTGTGGCTGGGGTCTTGTGGTTCCTGCTCTTGATGTGGCTGGGGTCTTGTTGTTCCTGCTCTTGTTGTGGCTGGGGTCTTGTTGTTCCTGCTCTTGTTGTGGCTGGGGTCTTGTTGTTCCTGCTCTTGTTGTAGCTGGGGTCTTCTGGTTCCTGCTCTTGTTGTAGCTGGGGTCTTGTTGTTCCTGCTCTTGTTGTAGCTGGGGTCTTGTTGTTCCTGCTCTTGTTGTAGCTGGGGTCTTGTTGTTCCTGCTCTTGTTGTGGCTGGGGTCTTGTTGTTCCTGCTCTTGTTGTGGCTGGGGTCTTCTGGTTCCTGCTCTTGTTGTAGCTGGGGTCTTCTGGTTCCTGCTCTTGTTGTGGCTGGGGTCTTCTGGTTCCTGCTCTTGTTGTGGCTGGGGTCTTCTGGTTCCTGCTCTTGTTGTGGCTGGGGTCTTCTGGTTCCTGCTCTTGTTGTGGCTGGGGTCTTCTAGTTCCTGCTCTTGTTGTGGCTGGGGTCTTCTGGTTCCTGCTCTTGTTGTGGCTGGGGTCTTCTGGTTCCTGCTCTTGTTGTGGCTGGGGTCTTGTGGTTCCTGCTCTTGTTGTGGCTGGGGTCTTGTGGTTCCTGCTCTTGTTGTGGCTGGGGTCTTCTGGTTCCTGCTCTTGTTGTGGCTGGGGTCTTCTGGTTCCTGCTCTTGTTGTGGCTGGGGTCTTCTGGTTCCTGCTCTTGTTGTGGCTGGGGTCTTGTGGTTCCTGCTCTTGTTGTGGCTGGGGTCTTCTGGTTCCTGCTCTTGTTGTGGCTGGGGTCTTCTGGTTCCTGCTCTTGTTGTGGCTGGGGTCTTCTGGTTCCTGCTCTTGTTGTGGCTGGGGTCTTGTGGTTCCTGCTCTTGTTGTGGCTGGGGTCTTCTGGTTCCTGCTCTTGTTGTAGCTGGGGTCTTGTGGTTCCTGCTCTTGTTGTGGCTGGGGTCTTGTGGTTCCTGCTCTTGTTGTGGCTGGGGTCTTCTGGTTCCTGCTCTTGTTGTGGCTGGGGTCTTCTGGTTCCTGCTCTTGTTGTGGCTGGGGTCTTCTGGTTCCTGCTCTTGTTGTAGCTGGGGTGTTCTCTTTCCTGCTCTTGTTGTAGCTGGGGTCTTCTGGTTCCTGCTCTTGTTGTAGCTGGGGTCTTCTGGTTCCTGCTCTTGTTGTGGCTGGGGTCTTGTGGTTCCTGCTCTTGTTGTGGCTGGGGTCTTCTGGTTCCTGCTCTTGTTGTGGCTGGGGTCTTCTGGTTCCTGCTCTTGTTGTGGCTGGGGTCTTCTGGTTCCTGCTCTTGTTGTCACTGTTGAATGTGTCTTTGGTCAAGAGCCATTTTTTTCTTACGAAAGTCAAAGAGCTTTTATGATAGATTAAGCAACTTGAAGCTGTGGGAGTGGGACTTGACACGAGTTTGACACTCATTAGGTATATCCTCCGGCTGAGGTAGGATTATGTTATTTTTGTGTTAGATTCAGCTACTGGGAACAAAAGTTCCAAATAGCACGGGCTATGGTGAGCCCGTAAGGGAGGAAGATATTCCTCAAGCTTTTATACACGGTTGTATGAGGTGCAGGGACGACCCCGTGCTCACGTCCCTGTGGACGCGGTACGCAAGAGTGGCGTTGGTACGACGTTGAATTAACGTTTGTGACGTTGATTCAGCGTTGAGTTGGAGTGGTTCTTGTCTATTGGCTGGTGACCACTCGGGGAGGGTAAAGCCGCTTATAACTCAGGAACAGTGAACCAGTCTCCATGCGGCTTTCTGGACCTAATTTACGTCGTTATCATGGTTTATTATACAGAATATCACTATTATTTTATGTAAGAAAATGTCTGTTTAACCAAGATTGAGTGCCAGGCTTGGGGTTAGCCTTACAAAACTTTGCAGGGGGAATGGACTAAGGTATGTGACGAAAAAAAGGCTAGTCAGGGTCGCCAGAATTTAAGAAAGAGCGTGCTAGGGTCACATTCTGACCTTCATGACTATTCTGCCCTCCACGTTGACTACATCTAGCTCAATATTTTTAAATAAAAATTTAAAAATTTATTATTTTTTATATAGTATCTAATTGTACCCGGCCATGCGTTGCTGTAGCTCAGCAATGCATGAGCCACAGCAACCCCTTCCCTGTCTCCCTGTCCTCCCTACCATGCGCCCCACTCCCACCCCTCGTCCTCCCCACCAATACCCCCCCCTCCCCCCACCCCCTCGTCCTCCCCACCATCCGCCCCTCCCCCACCCCCTCGTCCTCCCCACCATTACCCCCCCTCCCCCACCCCCCTCGTCCTCCCCACCATCCGCCCCACTCCCAACCCCTCGTCCTCCCCATCAATCCCCACTCCCTTGTCCGATGCATTCCCAAATGATGTAATGTTCCCATTAGAAAAATGAGAATATAAAATGATCGGATGTTCCCATCACTGAAAATTAAGAAGAACAGTTAAAAAAAGAAATGAAAATCTATGCAAAAATAAACGAAAATAAACTATACTCACAAAATAAACGGTATGTTAAACAACACAGCTTAATTCCAACGCAGTGTCACACAAAATAATTAAAACAACATGAAAAAAAATCGAAATCTATGAAAATTCAATTTCTCAATGCATTTTGAAAACATTGAAATGAAATCGTAACATATTAAGTATTGAGTGTGTTGCTTTTACGTCCATCGGATTGTTTTGTTTTTCAAAAAAATCTTGTTTTTATCTGTCACAGGTGTGTCATCTATATTGTGTGTATAAAAAACACGTGCTTATTCGAATGGAACGTTGTGTCAAAATTTAAAAGCAATTGGTGAAGAACTTTCGAAGAATAAAACATGTGTTTCTCATACGTCCAACAGATGGCACTGTTTTTCAAAGAAAGCATTTTTTTACGTATCACAGGTGTGGCATGCATATAGTAGGTATATAAAAACACAACGGTATTCAAACGCAACGTTGTGTCAAAATTTCAAAGCAATCGGTAAAGAGGTTTAGGAGATTTCCCCTCACATGAAAACTCACATGAAAAATGCAGTTTTTCCAAAGAAGCATGTTTTTTACCTGTCACAGACGTGACATAACGAAATCAACGGTATGATAAACAACACATCTCAATTCCAATGCAATGTCACACAAAATAATTAAATCAAAATGAAAATAAATTGAAATCTATGAAAATTTAATTTATCAATACAACCGTAAACATTGAAATGGAATCATAACATATTTAGTGTAGCGTGTGTTTCTCTTACCTCCAACAAATGGTGCTTGTCAAAGCAATCGGTAAAGAGGTTTTGGAGATTTCCCTCACATGAAAACCCACATGAAAATCACATTTTTTTTCAAAAGAATGTTTTTACCTGTCACAGACATGATGTAACGAAATGAACGGAATGGTAAACAAAGCTGCTCAATTCCAATGCAATGTCACACAAAAGAATTAAATCAAAATGAAAATAAATTGAAATCTATGAAAATTCAATTTATCAATGCAATTGAAAAATGCACATTGAAAAGGAATCGTAACATATTTAGTGTAGCGTGTGTTGCATTTACGTGCATCAGATGGCGAGGTTTAAAAAAAAAAACATGCTTTTCCTGTCACAGGTGTGGCATATATATAGTAGGTATATAAAAACATGCACATATTCGAATGGAACGTTGTATCAAAATTTCAAAGTAATCGATAAAGAGGTTTTGCAGATTTCCTTCACATGAAAGCTCTCATGAAAAACAGTTTTTCAAAAAAGCATGTTTTTATATCTGTCACAGACGTGACATCTATATAATATGAATATAAAAACACGCTCGAATGCGAATGGAACGTTGTGTCAAAATTTCTAAGCAATCGGTGAAGAACTTTCGGAGATTAGCGATTTTGAACAAACGATCATTTATATTTTTATTTATATAGATATACACCATTATTTATTGATCTCGGAAAATGAACATAATTTATGCTATTCATAATTTGACCGAAGTAGCATAAAACAGACGATCATCCTCCCTCAAGGAAATGGCTCCGCCTCTTTCTCACCTCAAATGGCTAAGTATTATATTTTATGAAAATTTCGCACCGCTAAGCTTCAGCCACCAGCTGAAGCAACATACAGCAATTCATACAATTCATACAAACATACAATTCATACAGCAACGGTAGACTATTACTTTATTTGTATAAACGACAGACAGGCAGAGACAGAAAGACAGTCAGCGAAAACTCAGAGACAGAAAGTCTGAGACAGAATGAAAAATAAACTGATAGAAACAGAAATGGAATGTGAAAGACCTGAGAGAGTGAGACAGGTTTACAGAGACGGGGGTCGACGAGGGCAAAGAGAGACAGAGACAAACAGAATATGAGAGATAAACAGAAAATAACACACAGAAAGATTGACAGGCAGACAGATTGACAGAAAGACACACAGTCAGATTGACAGAAAGACACACAGACAGATTGACAGGCAGACACACAGAAAGACAAAGACAAACAGATAGACAGAAACAGAGACAGGGAAGAAAAGGAGCGAGAAGGAGATGTGTAAAGAGAGGTAAACAGAAGGGAATAATTGATGAGAGGGAAGAAGAGAGAGAGGGAAGGAGGCAGGTGGAGAGGAGGAAGGTGTGAGGGAGTGAGGGAGAGGGGGCGAGAAGCAGGAGAGAGTGAGAGAACAAGGAGAAAAGGAAGGGGAAGGGAGAAAGTGTGAATGAGTGCTGCGGGGGGAGGGAGGGGGGTGGAGATTGGGAGATAATTGACAGTGGTAAATGAGTGAGAGAGATCCGGGCACTGCGAAGTTTACCCTTCCTCGTCGTAGAGGCAGTTTAGAGAGAAACTGGCAGCTGAGAACACCTCCAATAATAATAATAATAATAATAATAATAATAACAATAATACAACATGCAAAGATTGTTTTGATGTCAACTGACAGCCGACCTCTTAATTGGTAGCTGGACTGGAGTTATCTTGCTTGTATTTCTGGTGAGCTATTATGAGTACCACGATACGACAACCCCTTGTACTGTCTCCAAGCACAACTGATCAAATACAGTGAGAAACAGACAGACGGAAACATACAAACAGACAGCCATTAACAAAGATGTGTGGTCGTCCACGTAAGATCACCAGCTCATGCTCTGAGGCAGCTCTTAAGTCATGAATGACTGATGTCATACACGTTCCCCACACTATCAAGCTCTTTACTTACGACTCTTTGTATTTGGCTCTTTATTTGCTTGTGGCATTTGCTTGTGGCATTTAGTTGTGACTCTTACTTCTGACGGCTCTTACTTGTAGCTCTTGCTTATGGCTCTTACGTGTGGCCTTTGTTTGTGTCCGAGAAGATATATTAATGGACTTGAACCCGTGACCAAAGTGAGAGATGTGGACTACGACCCGGTCACCCACTGAGTCTCACGGACTGTTAGTTAAGGCTTCGGACTATAACCCTCAATTTCCTTTCTCGCCATTCCTAAATCCCCACTTCCTCTCTCTCTCTCTCTCTCTCTCTCTCTCTCTCTCTCTCTCTCTCTCTCTCTCTCTCTCTCTCTCTCTCTCTCTCTCTCTCTCTCTCTCTCTCTCTCTCTCTCTCTCTCTCTCTCTCTCTCTCTCTCTCTCTCTCTCTCTCTCTCTCTCTCTCTCTCTCTCTCTCTCTCTCTCTCTCTCTCTCTCTCTCTCTCTCTCTCTCTCTCTCTCTCTCTCTCTCTCTCTCTCTCTCTCTCTCTCTCACTCTCTCTCTCTCTCTCTCTCTCTCTCCCTCTCTCTCTCTCTCTCTCTCTCTCTCTCTTCTCTCTCTCTCTCTCTCTCTCTCTCTCTCTCTCTCTCTCTCTCTCTCTCTCTCTCTCTCTCTCTCTCTCTCTCTCTCTCTCCTCTCTCTCTCTCTCTCTCTCTCTCTCTCTCTCTCTCTCTCTCTCTCTCTCTCTCTCTCTCTCTCTCTCTCTCTCTCTCTCTCTCTCTCTCTCCTCTCTCTCTCTCTCTCTCTCTCTCTCTCTCTCTCTCTCTCTCTCTCTCTCTCTCTCTCTCTCTCTCTCTCTCTCTCTCTCTCTCTCTCTCTCTCTCTCTCTCTCTCTCTCTCTCTCTCTCTCTCTCTCTCTCTCTCTCTCTCTCTCTCTCTCTCTCTCTCTCTCTCTCTCTCTCTCTCTCTCTCTCTCTCTCTCTCTCTCTCTCTCTCTCTCTCTCTCTCTCTCTCTCTCTCTCTCTCTCTCTCTCTCTCTCTCTCTCTCTCTCTCTCCCCTTTCCGCAAAAACACACACACACACACACAGCACAGATCAAATCTTCTCTTTCGCTCTCGTCAATCTACGCGAGAACTGCACCAGCGCAAATTGTAGTTTCATCCTGGGCTTGCCGCAGGCTGCGAGATTGGGTAGATTGTCGCTGGTAAACACTCCCGGTCTGTCCTCTCGGTACTGCGGGAAGCGCGTTGACGCATTTTCAA